TTGACCTAAAATTACATAAAAAATTATTAATTACGAACCATTCGTTAAATAATAATATTATTTCATAAATTCACTTTATTATTATAGCTCTATTATTATTTGAACAAAATATATACCTATTCCAGAGTATTAACAATCGCTCTTCAATTGCATGCAGTAATTCTAGTACTGTATCCTTTTTCAAACGAAATCGATCGAAAAATTCTTTGTCATCCCACACTTCAAAATTGTTCGGTTTATTCCTTATTATATATGGTCTTCTTTCCACAAATTCATTATCATCATCATCATCACAGTTAAAAATATTAATATCCACGAGCAACTCCATTACTGTTTTTCATGAAGACAGCAACGATTACATACTCTTTTAATGTTTTAGGTTATGTCAAAGCACTGAAATCAATATCTTCCAGATATCCGCTACTTCAAGTAGAGGATAATTTTATCTGCCGGATAAACACTTTACAAAGGTGAAGAAAACCGATTTTGGGAGATATCTTAAGGATAAAGTTATCTGCAAGTTATCTGAAGGTGAAGAAATCGGGCATAAGTGCATCAACATGGACCATTCGCTTCCCAGGTCTATGCACTATTTCATAATTATAATTTTGTAAAAATAAGGCTCAACGAGATATTCGTTTACATCTTTTTTATTTAATATGAGGCGAAAGCTATCGCAATCAGTAATTATTTTGAATTTCTACCCAGCGAGATAGATATGAAATCTCTTTAATGCGTACACGACAGCAAGGCACTCAAGCTCGAAACTATGATACTTAGCTTCAGCGGATATGGTCCGCTGGCTCAAAATGAAACAGGTTTCCACAAGTTATCGCTCTGTTTTTGAAATAGAATGTCGCCGAATCCGCTCGCACTCGTATCGCAATGTAACTCAGTCTCCGCTCACGGCGAATAAATGGCCAATACTGGTCTACTCGCTAAATGATGTTTTAAGGTTTCAAACGTCTTGTTTTCGGCAACACCGAAAGTAAATTGAGCATTCTTTTTTATTAATTCGTATAGCGGTTTTGCTAACAATGAAAAATTAGGGACAAATCTACGGAAATAGCTTGCAAGGCTAACAAAACGATGTACATCTTTTACATTTCTCGGAAGCGGATAATTTAAAATAGCTTTAATATTTTCATCACTCGGTCGTACTCCATGCTCATTACCGCAATAGCTTAAATATTTTATTTCGGTTTGAGTGAAATAGTATTTATCCAATCGAAACTGTAAATGACTTTTACTAGTTCAAATAATTCTGATAGAATTACGACATGCTCCTCTAAATTTTTTGTAGTAATCAAAATATCGTCTAAGTACAATAATATCTTATGCTCTCTTATTAGCTTTTCAAATACAGTATTAACAAAACGCTGAAATACGCGTGGCGCATTTGTCAATCTAAAAAGCATTCTTAAATATTCATACTGTCCTAACGGTGTCACAAACGAAGTGAATTTTATTGACGCTTCGTGCATTTTTACGTGATGGAATCCATCCTTTAAATCTGACACGGAAAAATATTTCTTGTCTCTTAACCGATAAATGTTCGATCGATCGGGATCGCGCCAGAGATGTCACTTCCAAACGGCATCTCTGAGCGTTATCTAGAAAGGGGAGAGTGTCGTAAGCGTGGAGCGTCAGGTAGCTCAGTGGTTTAAAGCAGTCGCCCGGCAAGCGAAAGACCCGGGTTCGAGTCCCGGCCTAGCAAAAACCGCGCTCTCGATATTTTTCTCTTTCTGGGACGAAAAGATACGCAAATTTCGAACGCACGGCGTCCCGCCGCCACCTAGTATGCCCTCCTCCTTCTATGAACCGATAAATCGTCGATTAATTCGGTCGGAAAATTATCGCGTATTGCTATTTTATTTAATTCTCGAAAATCGACGCACAGTCTGAGATCGCCAGTCTTTTTTCTCACTAACATTGTTGGACTCGCATACGGCGAATTGCTTGGGCAAATAATTTCCTTTCCCAACAACTTGTCTAATATTTTTTGTAACGCTTCTTTGTCTGCAAATGATAACCTGCGAGGACGCGAACTTATCGGTTGATTGTGTTTTAAAGCGATGCTCATCTTGAAATCAGGGCCACGCTTCCCGGTTTGGAAACTCTGAAGATAACAAGATTCATACGCGTTTTGAATTTCTTTGATTTTATTTCGATCTATTGCTGGATTAATTTGTAGCTCGCCGCGTGCTTTATCGGGATGCTCGTCAGCTACGACATTTAATATTTGATTAATACTTGTTTCCTCAATGTTTTCAATTTCGATAACTTCTCCGAGCGTAATACGTAATAACGGACAATTTATAAAATCTCTACCCAAAAGTACTTTATACGCTATCGTATTATCAGGTACAGTATAAAACTTTATTTTTGTACGGACATCTTTTATCTTTATGTCACCGTAAAAGATATTTAAAATTTTAAGTGGCGAATTATTTATTCCGCAAAATTGACTGGTATCTTCGTTTACCGAACGACAATTTTCGTTATCTACAACACTATTTCGAATAATACTAATTGGAAAATCCGAGTCAAGTATCGCATCTATCACATAAGCATCTACTTTATCGCACTTTTTGCTAGAACTGATCTTCAACGTGACCATGTACGGTTTCGGGAGTACGACGGGCTGTATACAGTTAGTTGACGCCGTCTGTGCTGATTTCGCTCCAGCTCCGGATGTTGCAGGCTGTTTTCGATCGGGACAATCTTTAGCCATATGTCCGATGACCCACATACATAGCATGCTCTCGACGCCACTACCGACTGCTTACACTGTATGGTAACATGTCCTGTCCTCCGGCACTTATGACACCATGCAGGTTTCCCTCTTACCGACGGTGCTTCTGTTCTCGAACTTGATGATTTCGCGACATCTTTCTTCTGCTTGCTGTCGCTAGATTTTTTGCACTCGAAGTGAATTTTCTCGAAACCTCTCAAAAGTTCCAATCTCGACTTGAAGTTCATCATGCGTGCCTGATGCTGTAAACGCTGTTATAATCGCGAATAGTATCAGCGCTTTTGAAACACTTCTCGAGGAATTGTTTCGATTGCGCCACAATAAGGAAGCGGATGTGCAAGTGCGGCGATAAGCACCACCTTGCACATTCCGCATTTAGGATCTCAATTCCAAACGCATTACACCATTACCAAATATGGTAATGTTCTTGTCGCCAGGTACCCCCTCCGACAAGCCTAAAACAATATTATAAAAGAGCGGAGAAGACCACCCGCGCCAGACTTAACACCTCGGTCTCTCGCCGCGACATACGCGAACAACGCGCGATTCGTACATTACTATTACGAACGGGAGTAGGAATTAAACTCGTACAAGTGTACCAATTAAATAATAATACCTTTTTATATTTAAAACTACAAGAAGTAGTCAAAATCTCTCACTACATTTTATCCACCGCCATACGCCCTGCCGCGCCCGCATCACCGATCTCGAACTCTTTTCGTGTCCTGGCAACACGGGCACGACAACGCATATCAACTATGCCTTCAATAAGATAATCGAGAAGCTCGTGCTCTGCGATGGGCACTCGATTAGCGAAAATCACTTTCTCATGATAATAATCACAGAATGGTTTGTCCGTCTTCCAAACACGAGCCTCAAATTCTTTTTTGAGCGACAACTTCCCTGGATGTAAATCAAACATCTGCTTTATTTCCTCTAGAAGGTCCTCGATGCCCAGTGTCAAATATTCTGCTTTTGAATGGAACTAAGTAAGCGCTCGTCCCTTCAATCTTGAGCTTATTAAAATCCTGATTGAATTATCGTCTAGCTCGTATGAATTTCGTAACAGTTCGAGTTGATGCTTCCACCTCCAGAATGTATTTTCGGTCGCATCAAATTCTGGTAGTAGATCTCTAAGGTTTCGGATGCCGTCAGTCGCCAATACAACGCTGCTCGTCGTCGATGCGCTACGAGTTATCTCGCGTTCTCTACGCAATAATTGCCCCTCTCTCTCTCTTTCTCCTTCTCTCTCTCTCTCTCTCTCTCTCTCTGCAGGTACCGCTCCTAGATCTTGCTTGGACATCGATATAGTGTCGTCTTCGTCGGTTAGTTCACGCGTTGTCTCTTGCACTATAGCCAAAGTGCTTTCCTCGAACAGCACTTTATCCAACTTCTCACCCAAGATCGTTCAAATATTCGGGTCTTCCTCTCTTAGCCGTTTGATGAGTTCTGCTTTCGCTCCCTTCGTGGGCAGTCCTCTCTCGCGAAGAGCGTCTTTTAACTCGACCAGTGTAAAATCATTACCTTCCAGTGGCATTTTGGTGTTGCTTAACATTCACAGTTCAGAACGATAACGACATCGCCGGTACTTGAATATCTTCGCTCACCGCAAAAATAATGTTCCGCGCGTAACTCTCACAGAGTATACAGTACCCGTCGTATTTTGCCGAATATCGTGTCCGTACCCACTTTCGCGTGCGCAAAATTACTTTATGTCGACACTCACTCACCGTTACACTGTCGAATATCGCGACAACATAAAGCTCGACATTACCGTCCAGACAATTTCAACGATCGATCCCATCGATCCTCGACTTTCGTATCCCAATTCTGAATACGAGTCTGTAGGAGTCCATAGATATGTATGGATAGGGACAAGGTTTTAGATTCTTGCCTCTTACAGACTACAGACTATATTTACTAATAATAGTAATAATAATAGTAATAATAATACTAATAATAGTAATAATAATTACTACAGGATATAGGAACGTAACGCTCTATCGAGGATCTCGGAATAGACTGCTTATCCGCGAACTCGCTTTTTCGGGACCTAGCCGGACTCGCGTGGGGATACGAGGGCGACAGCCAATCAAGGGCGATTGTATGACTCCGCGGAGTCAACTCCAAGGTCGGGAGACAGTTCGTTTGTTCTCGGGATTTTCAACGTGCGCTTTCTTCTGCCGTCGCGACACAAACAATCATGAAACGACCCGACAACGCACGTCGACAACAGAAATATACCTACACAAGGCGGTTGGGTTTGAGATAAGTGTACCGTAACTGGTTTTTCTTCGAGCAGAATGTTATCCGGGAGATTCTCCTGCGGATCAGGCCACTCCAAGGAAGGGCCGCGTAACCAACGAGGTCCTTGCCACCATAAGGAGTGTTCCAGAATTTCGTCCCCGTATAACCCGCGAGAGGCGCAATCGTCCGGATTATCGCCTGTTGTCACATGTCGTCATTTGATATTCGGTAAACGTTGCTGGATGTCGGCGACTCGATTGGCGACGAACACCTTCCATCTAAACGGATGCTGTCGTAGACACGCGAGCACAATGGTCGAATCTGTCCAACAGATGCAAGGCAAGGCCTCTATTCCGATTACTCCGCGGACGAATTCGGGTGAGATGTGCAGCGTCTAACAGTTCGAGCCGCTGTGTGGAGCGACTCGTGATTTAGCGGTTAAGAGTAAGATCGTACTAGTGCCTGATAGCGAGGTAATCTTTAAATAGAGTACAATGGAATACGCTATGTTTAACGCATCCGCGAACCCGTGGAGCTCAGCGTGAACTCCGTTCTTCTCGAAACCGGTTCATCAAGCGATTTGAAGGTTCAAAAACGATTCAAAAACGACAGACGAGAATAAATTTGCTTCCAGCGAGCGAGAATCGGAGGGGGGACGGCTGCATCACAATCGATCTTTTCTTGTCCCAATTGTTGCATTAAACTCTTAGCGGTTATGAGGACGAGAGTGACCCATCCTAATAGGTCATAAAGGCGAGAAATGGATGAGAGAATTAAACATTTGCTCTCAGGAATGTTGGGAGATAGGGACACCTTTATTTGAAAGGAGTCAATTCCGGGATTCCACATGATTCCTAAAATACTGATGCGATCGCTGTCGGTGAGCGATTTGCCACATGTTAAACCGCGATTTGGAGGATCGAGATCGGAAAGAAATGCTGATGAGTTGCTAACCCATTTGCGCAACTCCGCCTTGGTGTAATAATGAGATTAGCTGGTCGCGGGTGTGAATAAGCGCAGTTCTGTTATCTCCGCCGAATAGAACGTTGCCCACATACATGTGCTCGTGAAGGACCGGCACGGCGAGAGGAAACCGTTTTCCCTCGTCAGCGACCAGTTTCTTTAGAACGCGTAAAGCCAGGAATGGTGCGCACGCCGTTCCATAAATTATAGTAAGAAGCTGATATTCAGATGGCGACTCGTCTTGGCTAGATTTCCACGAAATAGTCTGATAATGGACATCGTGTGAGTCGACCTGAATTTGTCGATATATTTTTGCGATGTCCGCTGAATATACGTATTTAAATTGTCACCACCGAAGAATAACAGCGGGTAATTCCGTCTATAACTTCGGGCCCGTTAGTAAATGGTCATTGAGACTGGACCCATTTGATGTTTTGTTTGATGCATTAAATACTACGCGCAACCGAGTAATGGAACTGTGATCGCGAAAGACCGGATGATAAGGAATGAAAACGCATGATTCCTGTTTGCTATTTGCACTAAGGGCTTTGCGCATGTGGCGCAATATTCGGCGAGGAATTCGGAATATTCCGACATAAGATCAGGGTTAGCGAGTAACCGGCGATTTAGCGTTTGCAGTTGATTGTCGGCGCGACGCCGAGATTTCCGATGTTGATAGGAAGACTATTTTTAAATGCGAGGCGCACAATGTATCGGCCTTCTGAAGAACGCGAATGAGTGGCGCGAAAGTGTTCCTCGCACTGCCCATCTTTAGGCGTGAGAATCGAGGGAGCTGGAAGTTTTTCGACTTCCTAAAATTGTTTGATTTGCTCCTCCAACGAAAGAGCTCAAATGCAATGGTGCATGGAAACGCGAACCGAGTTTCGGGACTCAACCGACTGTTTTTCATTATTGATACATTGTGAAGGAATTGCGTCGAGTGGCCCGGATATGATCCACCCAAAAATTGATTTCTGCGCAATGGGTTGTTCCGTTTTACCCCTTCGGATGTCGTCGAGAATTATGGAGCTATACAGATCGATGCCAATAATAATGCCAATAGGCTCCGAACTAAAGAGGTCCATATCAGCCAACGATAAATCTGCCAAATGCGCGAGCGACGCGACACTCGAGGCGCGCTTAGTGTATGACGTTAACGAATTAAGAATCAACATGATAGTTGAGAACAGGTGCGAGTTTGTTCGGAGGCGATATCCTAACCTGCGTAACGTAGCGATAGGTACCGGCGTCTACGCATCCGACCGCGGAAACGGAGACCGGCATGCGACGGTGCGGCGCTCACAACAGTTGAGCCAAGTTCTCCGAGATAAATGTCATCTCGGATCCTTGGTCGAGCAACGCTCTCACCTTGACTGAACGACCGTTTGTCGCTCCAACAACCACCGACGCAGTAGCCAAAAGAACTTGAGCCTGTTTTCTCTTTATTGGGGAGGCAAATAACGATTGTATTGCTGATTGAGGCTCGCTGCTCGGATCTGGTTAGCTCGGCGCCGGCGACTCAGGCAAGGGATGGTCACCACCCCCCGAAGTTATATGCAACATAGTGTGATGCCGTTGGTGGCAGAATCGGCATGAATATTTACTTTTACATTCTCGCGCTGAGTAACTTCGCCTTAAACAGTTGAAACATCGGCCATGTCGCTTAACGAGCTCGCGGCGACGTTCAAGATTTCCTCGCACAAACGAAGGGCATGCGTTAAAGACATGCCTCGCTTTACAAATTGAACATTGAGAGGTCGACGAAACAGTCGCTGATATCGACGCGGTCGCGACGTTCACTTTAGGAATGTGGTCCGCTTTCGGGCGAACAACCGAAACGTAAAATAATTTTTCCAGCGCGCGAGTTCGAGCGGCGATGAATTTGTCGAGATCTTCAAATGGCGCCGGCTCGTCCCGATCTGCCGTTTTCATTTTCTGAGCTTTCCGCGTCACCGGGTCCAAGTATTAGAGAACGATATGCACGAGTATATCATTCCATAATTCGGCCGGCGTCCGCGGCAGATTTGTCAATGACGCGACAGCTATGTTTACCCTATCGCGTAAGAATTGCAACTCCGTAGCAGATTCTCGCGACAAGCCAATGAGAATCAATAGAGTTGACAAATGCAAGTGTAACAAGCGATACGGATTTTCATAGCGAGCCTCCAAAGCGCGCCACGCAATAATAAAGTTCGCTGCGGTAATCGGTATATTCTCGATGCATTCTAACGCGCGCTTTTTGATGCAAGACGTTAAGAAGTGCATCCGAGCAAAATCACTTAACTCGGAATTTTTAATAATGAGTGCGATAAAACGGTCGCGAAAAGGCTCCCACTTGTCCACGTTTCCATCGAACAGCGGAAGTCGAATCGGAGGCAAATGTGCGAGAGACCATGCGGACAAGTTAGCCCGATTAGGTATGCTACTCATAGAGTCATTATGGGAACTCGGAGGAGGACCACATCTTCTAGAACCTTGACCATGCAATCCATCGTAGCGAGATACACCTCTGTTGCGTCGAACCGTTTTTCCACGAAGTAGTCCATCGTCTGCTGACTGCTGACAGGTATCGACTTGGATAAAGCAGAGTGGTCATTTTGAAATTGTCGCCAGAGCTCACGGAAAGACGAGATCCTCGAGCGAACTTTCGCCGGGGTCAGATTATTCCTTCCTAATTTCTTGAAGTTGTCCAAATATCGCTCTATTGAGTGTTGCATCTGCGCTTGTTGAATCAATGAATCTGTCATTTCGATTTTGCCGTAGTTCGTCCACTTACGCGATGAACTTCTGATGTCTTTTGCGTGCCTACCCGGCTCGAAGGATCACAAATTATGTCGCGGATTCGTCAAGCTTGAATCGCCAGTGAATGCAACCGAAGCAACTCAGCACAGGGCGAGGCGCGGCAGAGGGATCCGTGAGGAGGACGGGTCGATTTGAATCGATAATCAGCTCCTCTATCACAAATTGCTTTATTAACTGTTACAAAACGACGTTCAGTTCTCGGAATCCTCTGCAGACATAAGCGAGAGAAGCCGTTAATCGTGTGCACGAAAATCCACTCTCAAATACACCACCCAGGCGCGGAACGGAAATCTTGCTGCACGGAAAGGTTTCCGTCCTCACGGGCGGAAATCTTTCCGCCGGGTGGCTTGAGAGGAGCCACGAGCGCAAGCTTTTTCGTTTTACGGCGGCCGTGAGATTTGCGAGAAAACGCCATAACAATGATGACGATACAATATAATCAACAGGATAAGTCAAACTGGTGAACTGAAAGGAGCCGAAAGAGCGAGGCGAAGCGTCTCGAGCCAGGTGATCGTATTCGTTGCTGAAGACCTGGGAAGATCACGAAATTGAAGCTGATAGCGCAGCGCTTCAACTTCCGAAGTTGCTTTGCACAATTGTGACAGAACACCGTATTAATTGCACAAGAATCACGATTGATCTATTTCCTGAATTAATATGAATTATGTCTGACCGTCGTGCCAAAAAACAAGAATTAAGTTGCACGCGCTCGAATTATTCAGCGGAACTTTTCGTGAAAGAACATGGTTTTTCGAGATTGTTTCGTCCTTATATCGCGAACTTGCTACCATCTGGAGCAAGCTGATTGATTGTTGAAGCATCTGTTTGGTCGACACGGAAATCTCAAGTCGAGAGTTTGGCTTTGCTCGTGACTAATCATAGATTCGCCGAATTATGTTTTGATTTCTGGCGTTTACAACGTTTTTCCAAAAACATGATTCACGTCCTGACACGATATAGCGGCAAGCCGCTCATGTAAATATTACGCGTCAGGAGCTTGAATCTGATAACGAATCTTCGAGATCGAATATTCTAGAATATTCTAGAATATTCGAAAATGACGAACGAAAGACGATTCGCTCCGCGAACATTCTAGAAGATTCGGAAATAACGCACGAGAAACGACTCGCTCTGCAAACAGCGATGAATGGGATAAGTAACTACTAAGGAATCACAATTAAAAGCATATATATTGTTACGTGACGGATTCGCTTGCGACGGCCGGTCATGTAAGTATTTGTTAATTCTGCGCGTATTTGATTGTCGCGAAGCAGGTCAGGAGCCGGAAGGATTCCTTTACTCTGGCCACGAGGTGCTTTGGGTGGTCCTACCTCGAATCAGAGAACTGAATCATTTTATCCAGGAACGGACCGCGAGTAAGGTTGAATCAGGGGGACTGGGGGATATTGTTATGGATGGTGGATTAAGATCATTTAGTACGATTCTAAATAGGATAGGTGTACATTTATCTATTTATTGGTTACAAATTGGATATAAACATAGACTTATAGTTGTTCAATATGAAATAACGAAATTAGTATAGAACCTATTTTTAAAATCCGGATGTACGCGGAAGTGTACATGTGTATCTGTGTGCATTTCTGTGTGGTAGATAGGGAAAGGTTACGGAAGGATTAATGAATACAGAGAAGAGAGAAAGGGGGAAGAAAATTGAGGATCGGGAATAATAAACGGAGGGAAAATAAAAGAGAGCAAAAAGAAGACGATTTACTTTAGAAGACTTGGGCTGTAATTTGTCTGATGAAAAGAAATAAAAGTTGGGTGGCCGTTGACTTCAAGTCGTCTGTAGCTGGATGGTTTCCTAGTGGGATTCCGGAGGGGCTTCTTGGTTAATATTGACACGTAACGGCGTTGTTAAGAAAGTCGCGAAAAAATCGTGCAAAGAGTCACGGAAAAGAATTGAGAAGATGAAAAATGGTGCAACAATCTCGACACATACGTACTGAGAGAGTGAAAATAGTATATTGAGAGCGTCGGTTGTGCATTTAGATTTTTATACGGGACGATTTGGTTTGGAAAATGTGAATTTTCGGAGATATCTTTTGTTGGATTCGTTAGAGATGTTAGATGTAGAGTGAAGTATTCGAGTAATGTTTTAATAAAAAGGTTAGGAAGATTTCTTTGACTGGGGTTGTGGGTGAAGGAAAGTCGCGTGTTTTTGGAGAAGTACTGATTGGAGGAATTTCGAGGTGGTGAGGGAATCTTCAAGGCGAGCTGTCAAAGATGATGTACGTCGGGAACTGAGGCAGTGTAATCCGTGAGACAATGGATATTTTCTTGCTTAGAGTTTAGCGGCTTCTTTTCATGTACTCGAGTCCGGCGAGATAGGTTTTTGGAATTAGAAGTGTTTCCCAGGGTTGCATCTGGGATTATCGCTGAAATTTTATTGAGAAAATCCTGCAATTGAAGGAAACTATTTATGGTCTTGTGTACTGTTTTCCAGATGCATTCTGAATAAAGAAAAAATAAGATATATGGTTTGCATCTGTGCAGTACGTAACATTATAATAAATATTTCGTGAATCAATATTTGGAATACTCATTTGCAACACATACACACACAAGAGAGTATATACATGTCTCATAACTCGGAAAGTACTTAATGGAAAAATATTTTGATATAGTGTTTTGAAAAGCTCTCAAGATAAACTATAAGAATATGAATTCATTGCTATAAGCAATGAAAAATAGAGAGTTCCATTAAAAACATTGAAGGTGACCTTGACATGACCTTGACAACGCTGTTCAAGATTATATTAATACCACTATCTAATGTGTGATTTAAAACCTTATAACTTTTGTTCGAAACATTTTTTTCTAAAATGTCGCGTTTACGAAAAAATTGAGTGGTTCGGGTAGTCTGGAACACTTTGTATATACAGAATATTCTGTAATTGCGGTAATTCATTGAACAATAATTAAGCATTAGCAAAGTAATTACTACTGCTACTTAATTGCTGCAAATTTTTAAATTATTGACTTAGTAATTCTAAATTATTAACTATTAAATTTTTATAATGATAATTCACAAAGGTGCTACTATTTTTACAGTTGATTCTTTTTTCTCTTTTTTTTTTCTTTAAATAGAATAGAACTGCGTAGCGGTAGAAGATTGCATTTCTATTTGGCCCATTTTAAATTGTAATCGATGTAACCATTGCAAAAGTATTGCATTCGATTCTCTTCGATTAGAAACAAAATGTTCCGTCATTCTGCTTGGTGGGAAATCGCGACAGTTCTGCAAACGCACTTGTAGGTGTCCTGGTAGCTACAAGAAATTAAATTTAATATTGGCTGATGTAGTTTATTTTTATAATTATATTTATTCATTTTTTACATTATTCTTACCTGAACATGATGGGAAAATAAAATGGCATTCCATAGCGGTAATAATTTGCTTAGTAGAATTGAACCGCATTCCAGCAAAGCCTCCAGTAAGCTTAAGAAATGTAGGTTAAGCATTTCAGACAGCTGGAAAATATACAGTACTAATCAATTGTTTCTTTTCTTAATTTATGATAATGTAAAAAGATAAATGTAGGACTTTTAAATCTCTTGTATCTTTTTAAAATCAATTCTTACAGCTTTCGAATATGAAACGAGTTGTAAAATGCACGGTGTTATCTTGCCCCAAAACTCTAATAAAATATTCATGGTAATATTGTGACCTTCGCTGTTTGACGCGTTATTCTTCGATAGTTCTTCCAAGTACATTGTCCATAGCTAAAGCAAGACGTAACATTTTATGAATTAAATTTAATATAACTAATAGAAATTCTACAATTTAATATATAAATACCTGGCAAAGAATAAATGCATGAAAGAGTGATGACATATGAAGAACCGAGGTTTTTGATTGTTCCGGAAATCCTGAGAAAATGATTTGTATGTGATCTGCGATATGGCAGGACACTTCCTGAGGTATCGGTTGCGCAAACGAGATTGGTGAATTGTGAGAATGATTGTTATTATTGCCAGTATGCATCGCTATGTGCGTGAGAGATCCCAATAGCAACCAGGATAACAATCTGATGTGACCGATACAATCAATATATTCGCGAGCACTAAAAATATGTTTAGAAATTATGTGTAATTAATTTTAATAAATTATATTTATTAATTTTAATAAATTAGACAGTAATGCTAGCCTGCAGATTTAAAAAGTAAACGCTGAATTAGGTATAATAATAAATAAAAATATTTACCCTTGTATCGTAGACGGTGTAGTATATAACCATGGTAAGTATCGTGCAACAGCTTTATTTTCTCTATTATTGCCTCTTGTAATCTCTAAAGCTACATATTGAGCGAGGCCACACTTCAACATTCCACCTAATGTGTCCTCGTTTAATCCCGCTTGCATGCCTTTGCTGTAACTCTAAACAATTCTCAAAATGTATCCTTGTGATATAATCTCATATACAGATTCATTGAATGTTATGCTCTGATTCATTCCGATATATCGTTTATTATTATATATATTTATATATACATACAAAGCATGTATTACCTTGATTTTGCTTAATGTATGAAAGTCAGCTAAGAAATCAAGAACGTCTGACAACTGATTCTTTAAAGATTCAGAAGCGTTCGTATTGTAAATCGGTGATATATCTGTCTGAATATAATTTTCCATCGTGATAGTGCTAGGTAAAGATCCTCCAATATCCTGAGAATAATATTAAAAAAAAATATATATAGTGATAATTATATATGTATGCTTTAAAAATATAATAAATATGATCAACTACTTTATTAAAACTTACTTTATTAATTACTCTATTAATTAATTAATTAATTAATTATTTTAATAATTATACCTGAAGTGCAAATTGTAGAAGCAACAGGAAATTTGAATCCGGTATTGTAATCTTGAACTTAATAGCTTGAATTAATTCAAACACAATCGTCCTGCCAAAAAAGTGTTTATCGCGATCACGAGTAAATCCTCTATGACATAAGTAGCACAGGTCTGTTAAATAATGATATTGCAATGTTGAATTTTGTATAGCGTAACTTAATACTTTGGAAAGAGGATCCAGCATTCCCTGAAAGAATATTGCGATTTGCAGGATTTAGCTACCAATGTGACCCGTGCATTTTGTGAATTTATTTCCAACGTTAATTTTCTCGCAAAAATTAATGGTAATTATTTAAAAAAATAATAGTGACAAATTATTGTACTCAGTGATTCAGTGATTATTTAGTGAATTATTACTACAGGGATTCAATGATTATTTAGCGAATTACTGCAGAGTGTTCGTATGAAAATAGGTGAGTAAATGCTCGTATACATATAGACTAAACGAAAAACCCACGAAAGCATCCCCTTCCAATTTCTATAAAGTTGAAATATGTTATAATCCAAATTAAAGTAGGGAATATATATTTTTTTACACGTGTCCATACGGTTTTTTAAGAGAGTAAAACATCCCTTTTAAAAAACTCAATTTTTTCTTTCTTTAAACATATTCCGTTAAAACTATAAAAAATATTTTTAATAAAAATTAAATGATTTCAAGAGCACTTTATAACATAAACTAAATACCAAAATTATTTGAATAAAAATTGAATGATTTCAAGAGCACTTTATAACATGAACTAAATACTAAAATTATTTTACTAGAGAATTTAAAGCGGTATTATATATACTGCGATATTTTATAGTATTAGTTAGGTTAAACTAGATTATTATAAAATTTTCGGTATAATACCGACTTTAAGTATTTTGATATGATATCGGTATTGTATCGATGTGTTAACTTATTGTGTAAAATAACAACCTTAATTTGTTTTGCAATGTGTATTATTCTGCACTTTTGATTCAACAGCAGTATTATTTTCTTAATAAGTATATACTAATAAGTATATACGTAATAAGTAGCAACTCGAATATGGTTAAATAACCATAAGTTGCAGAAATGTGTTCAACTATCCCATTTTGAAATTATATCAAACCTTTGATCTATTATACTACTGTGTCCAAAAAGTAAGGTGACATTGCATTTATTTCGAAAATTTTTTATTTATTCTTGCAAATCAATTTCGTCCCCTTCAAAGTAATCCCCCCCTGATATAATACACTTATTCCAACGGATTTTCCAATCTTCGAAACAGTTGTAATAATCGATTTCAGGAATGGCCTTTAGCTCCTTCTTCGCAGCGGCTAACTGTGTGACGATAATGCACCGTCACACACTGCGCTGATTATTCGTGATTTTTTAGCCAAAAACTCGACTAATATCGTTCCACAACCACCGTATTCACCTGATTTGGCTCCATGCGACTTCTGGCTCCGGGGACACCGTTTCGAGTCGATAGAAGAGATTCAAGCCGCTGCGAAGAAGGAGCTAAAGGCCATTCCTGAAATCGATTATTACAACTGTTTCGAAGATTGGAAAATCCGTTGGAATAAGTGTATTATATCAGGGGGGGATTACTTTGAAGGGGACGAAATTGATTTGCAAGAATAAATAAAGAATTTTCGAAATAAATGCAATGTCACCTTACTTTTTGGACACAGTAGTATATTATATTCTATACTTATTACACAGCAAAAAAAAGAAATGCAACTAAACTACAATAATATTGCCATAAGTTACTGTAAAAATCAAGCTCAATATGATGTTTAGAGATTATGTTACATCTTAGAATTATAATATTTTGCTACTGTTACTATTTCTCAGAAGTGTAAGCTTCAGAATCAACAAAAGCGTGAAAGAATAATTAGATATGTGACAAAAACGAATAAAAACGCAATATTTTACAAGAAACCTGAAAATCTCTGCCATTTTAGATTTTTTTGGTTATGTCGTGGTACGTTGCAATTTAATTATATTTAAATCATATTTTAATAATACAGATCACGCAAATGCAAGTGAATGATAAATAATCTGAAAAAAGCAATAAAAACTAAAATTTTCTTATAAAAGCTGCCATATTGAATGCGGCATAATGAATTTTTTTGATCTGTATAACACCATATTTTAGCTAAAGATATTATGCTACCAGATCCAGACAACTAGTATGATCCTATGATAGGATCATGTCAAAAAGTGAGACACAAACGAACGATATTCTTTTTTTTTCAATTTTTTGGCGTTTTAGCCGCCATATTGAAAAAATGGCACGTGATAGCAAAAAATAGACTTTAGATCCGGAAAGGCCATGTCTTACATCTACAAGGTGCCGGAAAAATCTATAAACGTTTTCTGTCAAAATTATTATAATAAAGAAAAGACAATTTAGGTCATTTTGGGGTGAAATGGGTTAATGAAAAAGATACATCCAGCACAATGCAGCTATGCTGTTCATAAATCATGTCGCTTTGCGTTAACGATCCGCGAAACTACAGCGATGATAAAATTTGAACAATTCTCTGGCACTGAGACCACCAGTTGAATATCTTTAGTATATTTTGTAAAAGCGGTAAAAGAATGGCTATCGAAACGATAAAAACGGTTAAGAAAGATAAAGAAGCGATAAAAAACGCTAAGAAAAAGTAAAGAAACAGTAAGGAACGACTACCGAAACGGTAAAAAACGGTTACAGAAACGCTAAGAAACGATATAGAAACGGTAAAGAATGGCTATAGAAATGCTAAGAAACGGTAAATACGGTATAGAAACCGTAAAGAACGGCTACAAAAACGCTAAGAAACTGTAAAGAACGGCAAAGAAATTGTAAAGTACGACTACCGAAATGCTAAAAACGGCTATAGAAATGCTAAGAAATGGTAAAATATAGTTACCGAAATGATAACAAACAGAAACGACTACCGAGACAGTAACAAACGGCAAAGAAACAGTAAAAACGATTTCCAGAACGGTTAAGCGTTAATACATATGTCTCTAAACTAAGGGATGAAAAATTTGGGAGGAAACATTTATATATTAAAAAATAACAAATATTTATTATTAAATATTAAACAATTCTTTCTGGCGCTGAGACCACCACCAGTTAAATATCTTTAGTACATTTTGTAACGCACAATGTTTTGTATGATTTTTATACCGTAAAAGTTAGTTGCATCCAGTTTGTCCAATAAAGCTATATCCTCATAATCTGCATCTAAAGTCTCAATGATCACCTTGCCACTTGCATCGAGGAAATTTGCATTCTCACTTCTCGTATCCCTTGACGTAGACGAGTTTGGATTTTTAGTTTCGCTAACCACAGCGTCTTACCGTTTCTGTGATTAAATGTTTCGCTTTGTTGTACGGAACGATTCCATCTTTCCACTGCAGACTATGGTGATTAGCCATCAACCAGGTTGCTTTTGATTTGTCAGCTCTCGTGAAAAGATGCCACGACATAGAATTCGCAAAGATGTAGTGCGAAAGAACAGTTCCATTTCTCAGTATCGTTATTCTTTTTACGATAAATTTCTTTCCAAACGTGAATCCTTGCAGGTCCACAAATGTAGGAATGCTCATGATGGTAAAATATGTTGATTGAAGAGGCAAACAACCATATATGATTATCGTGCAAATCGTTGGTTTTTGCTGATGTTACTATTTTTATGTGATGTTGCGCACAATATTGGTCAGAGGACTGTACTCCACAACGCGATCGTGCAGAATAAAACAATAAGCTGTGGTACCCATTGGTATATTCTCATTGCAATCGAATTCTATTCTCGCGTCCACGGTGGCGCTCCTAATGGATTCGTTTTGTCGTGAGCAATCGATGACTACCAACGGGCCATGAGTAAGAAATTGTGTAGGATCGAACAGCACATTACCGTTGTCACATCCGTAATATGATTTGCGGAAATGTGCGTACATATCGCACATAATGGCGTATCTCTGTTTTTCGAAATCTAAATTTATATTGTCGTAAGAGAGTTGAGATAGAGTTTCACGTTAGTCAGCTTACAGTGGTCGAATGGCAACATTACCGGTGAGAGAATTCTTTCAACCAATCTGCAGAGCAAAAATGACGTAACGCAGCTTCTTCAGTTGAGTTGCGGACTTGACAACCCACGAATGTTTGGTCGTGCTTTGTAAGAGCGGAAATTCAAATAGATCCCACGAGCGAAAACTCATGCTCAAAATCGATCGCTTTCCAAAGCTCGTAGCATAGATAGTCTGTTTACATCTTTCAGCATAATGTGAGGCATTCGTCATTGTATTTTAAACAAATCAATCTTTGGATCAGAGTTTACATGTCCCACCATGCAATTGTAGTTGTTGTGTAAACGTATCAAGATCAATTCGTGACAAGCGTTGATGACGATTCGTTTCTAGTCCTCACAAAGCCTAGCAATATATTGAGCGGAACAAAATAATGGAAGTATCCCGCAAACATGTTCTTCGAGAGATCCCGACGTTCCTCAATATTAAATTTTTGTTACGAGTCAGCGAAATATAGTGTTTGAGCGTACTGGTTACTCCCATAATGTAAATATAAAGGTATATCAGTCCCGTGGATGCGCAGTCGTTGAAAATAGCCAATCAGAAATGCCCAGGAATGTTAGAATCCAATATGGCTCCTGACAGTGCACACGTCGTTGTGTTATATATTATAAGAAGTTAAGAGGTTATATAAAAGTAAAAGAATATTAATAACATATTGTAAGTATTTTTATATAAATAACGCAATGAATATCTAGTACTACAAACTTATACGATATATATAGATATATTTTTAGTATTATTCTCTCTCTCTCTCTCTCTCTCTCTCTCTCTCTCTCTCTCTCTC